ACCCCAAAAGGTTATCCAATTTAGGCAAAACGGCTTCATGGTCTTGGTTTTACCTCCACTTTACAAATTGGTCGGCATAACAGGGATACCTTGTAGAACGTACCTAGTCCTGCGTCATCTGCCATAGTATTCATGATCTTTACTAGTACCAAACCTTTGATTTGGTACATCCCAAGTTTGCTTATCAATGGCTGCAACACAGATGGGGTAAAAGCGTCTAATTAGAAAGCTGAATTTCATTGTACTTTCCAATTCAACTGTTATCTAATCTTCTGAGTGGGACGAATTATCGTAATTATAAAGTATCTTCAGCATCTCCAATTGTACCCAAGCTCAGACCAATATTTCGGACATAAATAAACACCTCCGGCTGCGACAAGCTACATTCGCAAATATTCTTTCCCTTTTCTTCCATGCAATCAGTCCATGGATGTTGGACGGCCGTTGAGCTGGGCCGAATTTATCAATAAACCCAGTTTTAGCCATTTTTAGTCATACGGAAGTAGTGAGTTGGCTTGAACACGTCTCTTCAAACATGTCCGAATGATAGGAAGCCCTTATGGAACAACCCAGTCCTAAATCTCTGCTACAGCATCAGAATATTGACTAGGTGCATTCACAGATGTTCCACCGGCATCTTAGTCAGCGTCGTCATACATAGCCGTGGCTCCGGATGCCGCATTTTATCGAAGCTGCCAGCAAAAGATCTTCGAGCGTACCACATTAATGGTCCGATTCAGGAAAATGTCATTCCCATCTTTAAAGATTGAGAGATGAATCACTTTCTCTGAAGGCGGATCTTGCTCTCGTAGTGAGTTGCTTTTACCGAGTGTCTTAAAGTTATGTACTACTCCAGCCAATGCCAATACCAGACAATGGCGTCTACTTTAAAGAAACTGCCCCCCTCACACCTGCAACTGAGCCCTAGTACAAGTTGGCGACATGGGCAACCTTCTACCTCTTCTAGAAGAGTACAGAGTGCTGACGAGGGCGGATGATGCTTTATTCAACAATTCATAAAACGGAATATTTTAGACTAAACTTCGAGTGTTGATAAGAATCGAATTCAGCCTCAATTTTCCGTTTTCATAGGCACCGGTGCTGCCGCAATTGAGGAAGAAAATAGGCAGGGCGTTATGGACAAAGAGCAACAGACATTCACTCGAGGCAAGCTTCTCTCAACCGGCTTCTCAATTCTGCGCTATTAGCTTCACCGGGTCGGTTGCTGAGGCTGGCACGACAAAGCTTCATTTTGACACGACTGTGGATGCATAATAGATGGTGTCTCTTGTCTGCTACCACACCGCTTTGATGGGGTCGCGTAGACTGGATTGGAATGTGCCGACAGTAGGGATTTGACCGTGTGCTACCTAATGAGGGAGGGAGGCCAAGCAGAAATATGAGTAATGGATGTTTTGGACGAAAACTTTAGACAGGTTGCAGCATAAGAGTAAGTTGCGTCTACTTGATTGAGGATTTCACTATTTCCGTGACACCATTCAGCAGGCATAAGCAGTAGCAACAATGGCATAAGCAGCCTCACAGACAGCAATGACAAGAATTTAACAACGTTTCATAGGCCCTCCCCATTCCTGTTCCCTACAAAGCTGACGTTTCCGTGCCCTAGAATGAAACTGACTTTCTCTCCCTTTCATGCTGTATGTGTCCTTCTTACAGGTTGACATCACCTAAAGGTCTTGCCTGAACACCATATTAATCATTTCCTCTTTAGACAGAAAATGTCAAAACTACTACCAACTACCCTCGAATCGTCAGTTCAATTGTGCCACCGTTAACAGCTACGCTAATTTGGTTGTCATTTGCGCCCTAGCCAGACTTATCTTGTATTCGCGCTTCGACCCCTGTCGATGGTAATTACCACTTCACAATTTATCATATGATCCCAAGTATGGATCAGGAGAATTATATTGGTACAGTGTCCCATGCAAAGTTGGAGTCACCAGTGTCGACTTGGCTACTCGTTAGTATCTGCTAACAGAACCTGGTTCACAGATGGAGAGGCTTATCGAACAGTCAAATGTAGACCTGCGCTACCAAATGTGGGAGATCGAGGTGGTCGAAAAGTGGTTAATGTATTAATACCAGACGCTGTACGACTTGGGCTCGAATCCTGCTGAATATGCTGATTGCACCTATACGTGGCTGAAACAGCAGTCCATTATGAATGGAAATAATTTTTTCAAAGCAATGCTAAATGAAATATGTGGATAAATTCCATTACCGGTCACTTCAAATGATATAGGGTGAATAAGGCTTTGTAATAAAATCTTTTTCTAGCCACGGAAACCTACTTATAAACTCAAAACGAATCTAGTTAGGTATGCAGAAAACTTGATTTCAAAGAATCCCTTAATATATTCATTTTGGAGCACCTTTCATTTCGTTTAAAGAGGCGAGTGTAAGGGAAGCTGAAGGAGGATCGGATCGGTGCTATGACTGTAGATTTATTTAAATAGGAACTCGGTGCCTCGCCTTGCGACCCGGAGGAATCATTCATCGGTGGATGTGTAAGGCTCTTGCTCAATAATTACTTTTTCAGAATATCAGTAGATCTTTAATAGGAGCTTTATCCACCCTAGTTTGCCTAGTGTGATGAAGATTTGATAATGAATTTTTCCACAATGAGATGATTAAACCCCACAATGCCAGTGAATTTCCCATAGCCTTGGGTCCCAAAAGGTAACCCCATCCAGGATGGATTTCATTTTTGAACTCGTCTGTCTCTCATCAGAACCCTAGCGGGAATCGAACCCGGATAATGCACCTCATGCTTTCAGCGTGTTGCCATTGCGCTACACTATTAATCCATTTTTCAAAGGATACTAATAATCCCAAAATCGTATTTGAAACAATCTCTTCTACTGTAATGATAGATACATGTTTGCCTTAGCGAA